TGTCGTTATTTCTTCTTTAGTGTCGAAGATAGTGAGATGGTGTAGTTGATCTGCGGCACAGGTAACTGTCTTGTCATTGGTATTGAACGATACAGTGGTGATACCTGATGTTGTCCAGGTATTGAGACCTGCATCCCATCGATGACACTGTCAATCATTACAAACAGTAAGAGCAAGCAAACATACAAACATCGAGAAATAAATAGATGTGGAAAGTCAGAAGAATCGCAGAATGAAGAAAACCAGTTATTAACAATAAGAGAACAAAGTGATGAGAAGGCAACGATAAAGACTGAAAGAATTAGACATTAAAAAAAATGCAAACAGGAGTATCTGAAAAAGAATATGCTCTATGATTGATCGATCGATCGATTGATTGATTGATTGATTGGTTGGTTGATTGACGGATTGATTGATTGATTGCTTTCTTGATTGATTGATTGATTGATTGATTGATTGAAATTAAGCAAAAGAGTTAACATACTTATTAGAGATAATCGACAAACCTTGAGACTAGCCTTGCCCATGTCAACGTCATTATACACAGGGATTTTGTACGTAACAGGTGTGGCTTGTTTCGATACCAATATTGCTAGATACGTCTTTGGGTTAAACAGCTGGACTTCTATGATATCGCTGGCTCTCGTCACCTCMCTATAGGTGCTGTTTAGAAGCATGTCATGAAGAATCTAAAATTAAATGTTCAGCATTGAAAACATGATGACAGTATTAATGTCGATTCGTGATAATACGTATTTATTTTATATCTGTATGCATAATGTCAAGGTTAAACAGCGTGTAGACTGAGTCACAAGACTGATTCAATTCTAGTAGCTAACCACCTGGAACCTTGTTCTGCCTGACAGATTTCTTTTTGTTTGAACATCGAGTTATGGACTGATCTACACTTACCTGAGTTGATACAACGCATGCACCATTGCATCCATCAACATCGTCATCACAATTCCAGTCTTCATAATCATCTTTTAAAGATTTACCCAAAATCACTTGYGCGGATTTGCTCTTGTAAGTTGTACACTGTTCGCAACCAGTGTATGAATAGTTGACATCGACATCTTCAAATGAGTCTTTAACGCTTCTTAAAACCATGTTGTTTAGTTCCACTACTCTTGCTTCTTCACCGTTGTCTATTCCATTGCACATTGACTGGCTAAGATTTTTAGCAAGGTCAATGAACTGCCTTTTTTGTTCCATCGCCTCTGAACTATATTTGGTCATATTGATAAGATTATCGTGGGCTTGAAGTGCAAGCTCCACCTAGTATATAAAAACAAAATTCCACTGATTTTTTGTCGTTCATTAGTTCTATTAATTTAAAGTGAACGTACCTCTTGAGGGGTTTTCCCTGTAACTACAAGACTAGTAGGTTCGCTGATAGCTGCTCGTCTTTTGCGTTTACTGCCACTATTCTGCTCGCTTTCTTCCGGMAGATTTTGTTTTCGGATCATATCACCTGCAGATTTGAGAAGTTTCCTTTTTACTTCTTCAGGCACTTCCTCGGCGACTGTCTGTTTAGAGCAATCCGCGATGACTCTCTGAGCTTCCTCTCTATTTTCGTCTACAATCTCTCCTTTTTCTTCTATGTTCGATACCTGCGGTAAGCCAAATTACATACAGACATTGATCCTTTTTKTGCATGATTATTTTTGAGCAATAATATGGGAATAATATCCAGRCACTACATTCTTATATACCTTATATACCTACCGCTTTAAAGGATTCCGTACACAGTTTATTTACTTCTTTTTGTGCTTGCTCGTCTCTTTTTTCCTCACCATTGTCATAAAGCGCTGTTGCGATGACCTCTGACGAAAAAATCATCAATATTAAAAAGAGTAGTTGTTTGAATAGTGGAAGCTTTCGGATCAGKCATTTTAATCAATGAGGACGTTGCAGTGGGAATAAATGTCATGTATGTTTTGGCAAGGCAYCACGTCTTGCATGTTAAACCGCGGAACGTATGACATTTCGAGCATCGCTGTTGTCGTTAATATGTTATATACCTCAAGTCATGCATTTGCTTACTTTGCATGCCTTCAACGTYACCAGCCTTAATATTTTCGTTCAGGGTTTGGTTTGCTTGTTCCATGGTTTTGCCCTTTGCTGGTCTTACAATGAAGGTAACCGAGGTTTCAACGCATATTTTTGGTCGATCATCTGTGCACTTCTCAAGAATCACTTCAACTTCGAAGTTCTGGTCTGSCCGTCCTGTAGGAGAATAKGTATTAGATTYAACAAATAGCCKRGTCAGTAATTGAATACGCTGTGTCGAGAACAGGGAAGAAGTGATGGGATGTGCCGRGGAGTTCAAAGGATWGGGCACTGATATGCTTGTCGGCAAAAACTTCRCAATATTGTATAGTTGGATTCAATGAGGCGACAGGTAGTTTGGAATTTTGTTCATTTTTTACCGGATAATTTCACTACTGTAATACAAATAGTGGGAACTAGCGGTAAACTAGTGTGTTTCTAAAGAAACAGTGGTGTAAAAAGATAAGTTTAACACCGTAAAAAAAGTATGTGACATTAATCCTTCGTTCAATGAGTCGACAGATAGTTTGGAGTTTTATTCATATTTTACCGGATAATTTCACTACTGTAATACAAATARATCACTGMTAGCCAATCACGATACGCGTAGGTCACATGATTATACTAACTTCTATTGTTACCTGGTGGAAGATGAAGCTCAAAAGAACCATACTGAGACGAGSCTCCATAATATATMACTTTTGTCACATTACGTTTATTGACTTTTTTGATTCCGCAACGATACTCGAGCGTTGCAGAGSTTGTTTSTTCATCTCCTGATTCGTTAATATCAATGGTAAAGGAGTCATTAAACCCAGATGTGCCTTCATTTTTATCCACGGAAACTGGTCCTGAAGATAGTGCGTAAAAAAGTTATAGTGTCACAAGTTACAGTAATTAACGCCCACTGTAAGAACAAAAAGTACAGAATTTAATAGTGAAGTTTGCTTTATACGAATCATATTTCACTGCGTAAACCCTGGTAGATGACGCATTAATCTTTAGACTAGTTGCGTACCTAT